GTATTTGCTCGCAATTATGCTAAAGAAGGCATGTTGGCCTACGTCCAAGGTATTCAACGTCAAGAACGCGCTAACGGTGTTGAAACTTTACAACATCAAACTTGGTCCGGTGCTAACTACTATGATTCCCTAAGTAATTATTTTTTATATTCTGAGTTCTTTATTTTATAATATTTTTCTTTTATTTATTTTTAATTGTTTTTCAAGTCAAAACCGTCCAAGGAGGTATCTCTTCAACGGCTGCTATGGGTAAAGGTGTGACTGAGGATCAATTTAAGTAGAATACTTTCTTATAAGGGTCTTTGTAAAACACTTTTTTTGGAATGTGATTTTTTTATTAAACTATTTGTAGAAAAATTTTTGTAAAAATCTTTAAACTAGGTGTTGTATTAAAGATTCTATTTAAACTAAATTCTAAGGCATGCTGGTAATTGAATGATTTTATTATAATTTTCGTGATACCAATCTAAGTTGGTTTGCAGTTTCTTTAAAGTCATGATTTTATTACAAGTATTGCTTATTTTACTTAAAGAATTCTCAATAAATAAGGCTTTGTACGTCAAAAATAAAAATAAAATGACTTCATTACTTTGAAATTAATTTTAACATTTATCACTTTAATTAATGTTTTTAATAACTTCATGCTTATTTTGCTTTATTTTATATTAAAAAAAATTTTTTTTTTTTTTTTTATTTAATAATAATAATAAATAAATATATATATATATTAAAATACATTGATTTTTTTTTAAAAAAATAAAATGTTAAACTTAAAATTAGATTAATATAATTTCAAGTATTTTTTCTTAAATAAAATTAAAAAAAATATTTTAATATACTGTATATATATATATAATAATATATTGTCAAAAATTAAACTAAATAATTATGTAACATACAGTATCTAAAAAAAATAAAATTATATTTTTAGATAAATAAACATGCTTGTTTTTAATAAATAACAATTAATGGTAATTGGTTCACGGAATAACAACGATTCTATTTATATTATAACACATGACAACTAT